GATGGGAAGCTTTTGGAGCGAAAAAATTAGGAGATGGGAAAAAAGGTTGCAGGAGAGCACAGACAAGCAGCATACATATGTTTAGAGAAATGTAAAGGACCTAATAAGTTTTAGTATGAGCTATCTTAGCCACGAAATCCAGAACGAAAATTCAAATTTCATAACCTTTTTTTATCAAGATTTTCAGAACATGTTTGTCGCTTCTCTTTATCCCGAATCAACAGCTTTTTAATTCTTTAATTATCAAGCTAAGGTCCTCTTCTCTCTGTGCTGAAGTAATACTGAATACCTTCAATTTTCCTCTAACCACAATTAACTAGAAAATGGAACTGTGTTATACTGTTAAAAAAGATATGTAACTTAATCCTAGGAATGTGTCGCAAAGTATTTATCATCTTCTTAAATATACTTCTTTTTGTAAGTAATGCAGTGAAATATATTCTCGAATTTGGAATAATCCAAATCACCTGCGCTCAAAGAAATTTCATGGTAGAGAGTTAATTGGTCAAGAAATCAAAGAGTTTCTGACCTGGCACATCAATGGCAGAAGCATGATATTTGCGAAACTCCTCCTTCCCCTTGGCTGTTCGATTCCCAATTGAGACACCAAAAGTTGATCCACGCGGATAACCACCGATAAATGCTTCAGGAAACACCACAAGCTGAGCACCATAAGAAGCCGCTTCTGCAAGCAGCCTCTCTGCTTTAACTGAAAAATTACCAAACAGTAACTATCCCAATTCAAGTTTTTTTTAACAAGTCCCAGATCAAGAATTTAACAAAGCCAGAAAACTTATAGGTCAAGTTATAACATTCCAGCTTCCAACCACACAAGTTACAAGACATAATTTCAGGAAGTAAACTCGATGTATTTGGCTCTTTTTTCTGCCCCACCCACTAAAACAGAAGCTTTCCTTCTCATGTGCAAGGAAAGAGAGTGGCAAAGGATCATATAATTTGAACTAATTGACCAGACATGATTGATTTAGGATAAGCACACTTCCAACTGCATTCGAACTCAAGTTTCATACTTTCTGCTGATAGCAGCTACTACTAAGCATGTAATTCTACCTTGCAATATAACGGATCAGCTCACAGACGCTGCTCATAAATGGTTAGAGGACTTCAGTATCCTTAATTCTTAATCAAGAGAACCACATGGTAACGCTTAAAAAATATGCCTTTGAAAAGAACTGAACGTTTAAAGGAGAATAAATCAACGTAAAGTGCCATTAGCGGGAAAGCTTTGAAAGAAAGGTTAAAGGAGTTCCCAAGTCAGAATCTTCTTTCTTTAATTAAGGATACATATTTAGTAGGACACCACGGAAATCTTCAAATCCTACACTAGACTTTTTAAATTCCTTGCTCCATTCTTTTTTGCTTCTCCCAGAGGGCTTCTGGAAATAACGCAATCAGTTCTCATCCAAGCCTTTGTTGGGGCTAATGCGTTCCATTTTTTATTTTATTTTTTTTTGGGGGGGGGGGGGGGGGGCGCCTTAAAGTTCCAATGATTAAGTCTCATATGGACGCAAGGAGCTGAAACAACAGCGGAAAGACTTTGGATATATCCAGATTATGAGAGTGAAGTACGTCTCCAAGTTACTGAAGACATGCGTGCTTTGGAAGTAAAGGAGATTCTATATGGTAAAACAATTTTATAAGAAAGCTGCTGAAATAGGTCCTCGTGCCTTTGAGAGTCCTGGCCTTAATAGAAATGATGAAGAATCTACCTTCAGAATCACATCCATATGTTTTAGCCTTCAACCCCGGCATCTCCCATCACTATACCAGAAGGAAAATTTTCAGTTGCCCTTAATTGCAGTATTGTCCGCCGATGTTTTCAACATTGCCGTCTTCCATTTTTATTTAGCTTACAAAGATGATAATATAGTTTCTCATATATCCCCCTGTTGGTGCCTCTAGGTAGATGAATAACGGTGAAGATGAATTGCACAAAAAGGTCAGAAAAATGATAGACACATATTTAACCTCGTCTCTTCATTTAGTTGAAGATTCGTTCTGAATAATTTTTGGTTTCAACTGTATGCTATTTTTTACCGGCAAGATTTGGCACTGGCAAGGGATTTGGAGTTTTAGGAGGGGGTTATGGTCATGACGGTGGTGTATACATGTCGTTAAAACCTTGCTTGAGGTGCACTTAAGCCCTTAACTTAGGTGCAATGCAGGTCTGGATGCTTCAGTCTCATTCAGACAGTACTTCAGTGCATGCACCAAGGTTTTAAGGCATTGCGCTCAATCGCCATGAGATTTATCTTGATTAGGACAATACTAAACAACAATATAGTTGGCAAAGCAATTTAAGGAATGTCATGAATGAATTTTCCACTTACTAGGAATAAGAAATTAGAAATTTAATATAACAAAGCTACTTGATAGAACTTACAACTGTATCTATACATCTAAATGGGAAATCTAAAATGGGTTTCAGCTTCATTTACAAGACTTTTCTTAAGTTCATTTAGTGTTTTCCTTTTTCCAATCTTTTGGCTACAAAATAATTATTTGGATTTATAGTTTTTTTTTTTTTTGCATAAACCCGCAAGTCAAATGTTAAATCAACCAATAAAGAAACAAAAACCAATACTCAAGAAAATATAAACCCAAAAAATGAAACCGCTACAAGAAAAGAACATAGTAGTTAGATGAAGGAAAAAGGGGGCTAACCAAGAGTGGCAGGGGTGTCGTAAAAGATGGTAGAGGCCTGAACTACAGTGGCACGGACAGTGGGGGTGGAGGAATTATCTCCCATATCCACTTCAGCAAACAAAGGGCCTTCATTCACTGCTGGGGTTGGGACCAAAGCCATTTTTTCTTAGTTTTGCGCTTATTTCGTTATCTGATTCTGAATTTGCAGATGTGTTTTGTGTGGATTTTGCCTCTTTGTCACGGTGTTTTGGCAATGTCAGTAAAATAAGGATGTTGGTGTATATCCTTTTTGGAGAAGAGATTTCTAGAAATTATAATACATATACTAGTATACTTTATAATTTGTGGTAGGGTGATGTGGAAATTGTTTTTTGAATATTACCAATACCATGATTACTTGCTTTTCTTTCTTTATTTTTTCTTTTTAATTTCTTCATTATGATGTATTGCATAGAGCAATGTTTTTGTTGACTCAAATAATGGGGAAGAAGTCCACAAATATGCAGCTCTGTCAAAGCTATGCGACAATAAAGTTTTGGAAGAAAAAGAAGTGATTTTTAGGAGAAGTACAAGCAATTTTGGAAAACTTGAAAAAAATAACTTCTCTTCTAAATCACTTTTGAGAAAAATACATTTAGAAGTAGTATTTAAAAGTTTGGCCAAATACTAATTGTTGCTCAAAATTATTTTTCAAATTAATTAGTCAAACACAAATTGTTTCTCGCCAAAAGTACTTTTGAAAAAAAACACTCTTCAAAATAAGCTAATTTTTGCAGCTTGGCCAAACAGGCTACAGTTCTCTTCAAACTCCATAATATAGTATAATTTATGATACTTCTTAGGAGACTTAACATGATAAGTTGAGTGTTGTGCTGCTGGGTTCATCTGAACGTTGTACTTCGACGTGAAATATATATTATTGTGAAAAAAAGCCTTCCGCTTCAAGTGTATCCAACAAATATAAATTTGTTCGTCTAGCCCTATCATTTTATGTGTACTAATTCCCCAAGTTGCACATGAAAATGGATACAAATTTTAAGCTAAAATTGGTCAAGTTCTTTTAACTTCTAATATTTCTACTAGCAATAAGATAAAGTAAAAAGGAATGAAAGTTGCAATAACTTTCATGTTCTACCTTAAAGTTATATTTTTAATTCTTACAATTAAAGCTTTTTTATTTTTCAAATATGCTTCTCTGAATATGGCCTAATAATTGATGAAGTTAGTATAAAAATTATGTTAGATCAATTTTGTTTACCCTCAAAATGAGATAACAATTAAATTTGTAAATAATTTTAAAGATATGTAGATTAACTTGACACAAAACGATAAATTAGATTGCAATTGAAATAAATAATGATAAAGTAAATACAAACCACACGAATTGAACAGTCTCAGTCTTGGAAGATTAATCACCCTTGAGCCGGACGTACTTCGATCGGTATCAAGGCACAGAAGAATAAGAGATTAAAGAGAATAATAATGTATTGCTTTGAATTGCGTGTTACGATGTCTTTTACAGGTAACCATACCCCCTTTATATAGTAGGGGAGTCCTACATTAGTTATAACTCTATAAAAGGTAAAAATCTCTTGATTTGCTAATTGTCGATTCTTTATTGATACGTGCCGAGATTCCTGTCATAATATCCGACCAGTCATGGATATTTCGGTCTTCTGTTATGCTAACAATGTTTCTTCGAGGTTGTTTGAACCATGACTGATTCCGGAGTCACGGCCTTGGTGTTATCGAAGATAGGTGTTTGCACCCGGTTATTAACCCGATGAGGCTTGGGGGCGATCTTCAGCCCTTTATTTTCATGTCTCGAGCCTGACCTATCATGTCGGATGCTAGGGTATACTACAAGATCGATTTTACCCGTATACAAATAGTCCCCTCATTTTTCGGAGAGTAGATGACGAGAAACAATATGAGCTCCCGATTCTCACTTCGATATACCATGACAGAAACGACAAAATAGTTGAAACGTCCCGTCGGTCTAGTCTTAATGGCATTAAATGCTTGTCAGTTGCCGATCGGCCGCTCCCAGATTTGAACCGTCGCTGGAAAACTATAAAATACCCATCCCTTTGTTCATTCAAACTTTACATCCAAGCCTTCTGCCCTCGTGTCTAAGAATTTTCAATACTTTCAAGCACTTATATTCTGGTTACTTTGAGATCTTTTATAAGAACTTTCATTCGTCTTCATCTCAAACCATCAAGCGTACTATTTTAACTTTTTCTTTTCCCTCGTTTTTTCTCCATCTTTCAAAGAATTGGCGAATACTTCAAAATCCATTCCTCAAAAAGAAACTCCCTCTATCTCGTGGCCGACTATCGAGAAAAACGTCTTGCGTACTGTTGTCGAGGAACCGGTACCGGAACCTCCTCTAAAAATGTTCCTCCGGGGGATGCCCGATCAATGTTGATTTTAAGGTCGAAAAGCCCTCCTCCGTACCAGGTCGGTGTGAGGAGGTCTCGAGGTACATCTCCTCGATCACCAAGGATATTTTCTCTAAAGTCAAAAAGGATTGCAACTGGGTTGACAAACATGTGGTGATTCCCGAACCTGATGAAGCCATCACCACCCACGTCGAGGAATTTTTAAGTGTTTACACTTATCCCTCCATGTTGGGCCCCTTGGATCCGGTTATTATCAACTTTTGCAAAAGATACGAGGTAACCCTTGGTCAAATTCACCCTTCTTTCTAGAGCATCATAATCCTCCACCATTTCTTTGTAAGTAAGATCGAAGGGTGCCCCTTCACTATCGACCACCTCATGTGTTTATACAGTCCCCGACTCTACTGGGGGCTGATCAAGCTCGCCCATCAGGCCAGTAAAGCCCCGTTCTGGAGTATCAATAAAGATCGGTACTGAGGCTAGCTAGGTCATTTCGTCCGAGTGAGGACCTCGGACTTGATCCCAACCAAGCACATATCGTTTCCTAAGAAGCGGAACATGTCACATAAGTATGATTTTGCTTCCAAGATTTAATTTATTGCTTTTTTTCTTTCTTCTTATCGGTGTTCTGTGGTGGTGCAGCTGTTGCTCGGATCCCAAATGCAGTTCCTCGACTCAAGGAGTGGGTCGAGGGCATCGTATTACAAAGGCCTTATTCCGAGCGTTTATGGCGCGAGTTTTCAAAGGGGCGATGGAAGGCCCGTTCGCACTGTGAGATCTCTTTCATGAGTAATATTTGGTTTCCCTTTTGCATCATTAAATTCTCACTTGTTTATTTCTTTTTGCAAGTTTATCCAAGGATGTCAAAATGAGGGCCTCATCCGGTAGCGATGATTTCCCCACTAAGTCCCATGCTCCAAGACAGGGTGAAGAGAAGAAAATAAAAAGGGCTCCGAGTTCTCCGAGCTCGGAGAAAAAGAAGCCAAGGAGAAGTTTGGTGCGTAAATCCAAAGAAAGCACTAGTGCTCGAGCACCGTTTCCGGATTCACTCTATTGGCTGAGGGACGAATCCGAAGGAGAAGGAGAAGTTTTCGATCTGATGGCCAGCATGTCGTCACGGCTCGAAGGGCAAGGGGCCTCCGAACCAGAGGGAGGCGATACCGATCTTCATCAAGTTAGGGAGGTCGAGGAGGAGGTCGGGACCGAAGCTTCCCGAGATGTGGTCAATGCCCCGAAGGAAGCACTCCGTGAAGTTTTTGACCAATATTGTCCCTTATCTTTGAGGGTAGATCTATTTTGGTCCCTCAAATATAACCCTGAGCATATTTAGTTCCTTAAGTATGCTAAAGTGGAGCATCTTTAGTCTCACTAACACAATATGTTCAAAAACGAACGGTGTTACCCAACTTTAATTCATGAAACAAATCTTATACTCTGAAGCAAAACGTTTCCTTTGCTTTTATTGGATAACGCAAATTATCATTTTAATTTCTCATTTTTAGATAATGTCTTCTAAAATTTTGACCTTGAAAATAACCCCTTATGTGTCAGTTTTCAATGAGAAAATGATATTGTATAGCCATTGTAAAAATAATAGCCGAAAAAATATATAAAATTTGTATATCTTTTTGTATGTATATATATATATATATATATATATACATTTAAAAATTTCGGTTGATTTTTCCAAAAAGAAAAGTTAAAATTTGAAAAACAAATATATCTGCCAGGATCACTTCTAGGCATATTATTAAAGCAAACGAATAACCAATTTGTATTATCACTTTNGATATTTTCAAGGTCAAAATTTTAAAAGACATTATCTAAAAATGAGGAATTAAAGTGATAATTTATTATCTAATAAAAGGAGAGGAAACGTTTTGCTTCAGAGTAGAAGATTTGCTTCATGAATCATAGCTGGGTAACATCGTTAGTTTTTGAACACATTATGTCAGTGAGACTAAAGGTGCTCCACTTTAGCATACTTAAGGGACTAAATATGCTTAGAGCTATATTTAAGGTATCAAAATAGACCTACCTTCAAAGATAAGGGATAATAATGGCCAAAAACTCCACTCGATGTGATAGAGATCACCGGGTCACCCTCGTTTACTGAGTCCATGTGCAATAAAGCCCAAACGGCTAAAGGTGTCACGACCCGAAATTCCACCTTCGGACCGTGATGGCGCCTAATATTTCACTTGCTAGACAAGTCAACGTTAGAATAATTTTAGCCATTTTTTAAACAAAATATTAATAACAGAGAAATAAATACGGAAGTAAAGTCTGAAATGTAGTGAATAATTCATAAAATAACAGTATCTAAATACCATCCCAGAATTGGTGTCACAAGTACACGAGCTTCTAGAATAATACAAATAAAGATCTGAATAAAATAAAGTTGTCTGGAAACAAACACACATCTAAGGTAAAATAGATGGGGACTTCAGAACTGCGGATGTAGTGCAGTTATACCTCAAGTCTCCTCTGATAGCTGAAATCCGAGCAAGTCTATGGTACGCCACTGGGACCAACTCCGAAATCTGCACAAGCAGTGCAGAGTGTTGTATCAGTACAACTGATCCCATGTACTGGTAAGTGCTGAGCCTAACCTCGACGAAGTAGTGACGAGGCTATTCAATACTCTCATATATTTATTTGAATCAAGTATATGTAGACTTTTAAATAATTCTGTTGCGGCGTGCAATCCGATCCCCCAATATTGACTTTTAAATAAGTCTATTGCAGCGTGCAATCCGATCCCCCCAATATTGACTTTTTAATAAGTCTGTTGCGGCGTACAACCCGATCCTCCAATATATTTATTTACCAATTCAATTCTGTTGCGGCGTGCAACCCGATCCTCCAATATATTTATTTTAATCAATTCTGTTGCG